TCTCTCTCTCTCTCTCTCTCGAGATTCTCTAGAACTCGTAGAACTTGGGCTCTCAAAGGAAGACTTTCTCGAAAGCTTTTGGATTTTGGAAATTCTTGAAAAATTAGACTAACCGTTTGCCTTCCAATGCATGTATGTATTATTGTACGAACCTCTATTAACTCCACAAAGCAAAAAAAAAAAAAAAAACCAAAGGAATTGATAAAATAGCATGCATTTCCTTTTAAAGTCCGTCTTTTACAATTTAAATTCAAGTGAACATTGCAGAGTGTACTTTTATCTAATGACGTACAGAATGTATAAAATAGTGTAATCCTTGGAATAATCACATTGGCTTTTGAAATAAATCATTTCATTGGTCATCCAGCAGTGTTATTTAAGACACCTTTAATTATTAAAGAAATTTTCTTGAAATATAGTATAGCAATCAAGTGCCTTTAATTGAAAAAATATTTTTAAAATCGTGTTAATCACTTTGACCTATATATAAATGGCTCATATATAATGGCACACAATATTATGCACAACAATTAAAAGAAAATGCATCGAAACGTACCATTATCTATTGCAAAAAAAAAATAGCTAGATTGACAGACAATTAAACTAAATAATTAATTTTCATGTTAAATATACCAGAGGAACTATACCAAATAAGGGGGCAGGGCAGACTGTACAATATTTCCTGATCAATAATATTTGTTCGAGGATTAATTTGGAGTTGTGTGATTCAAAGCCATCGCTATCTGGCTGCAACGGTGTGAGCGTTCAAGGGATACAAGCACCTCTGGCCAACAAACTCGCTTCTTTCCTCTTTCTTCTTTCTCCTTTTCCTCTTTTTTTCCCCGTGACAGGTACAGGCAATCGATGCACATGTGCGTCCAGTACACGTGCACACTATGCACGTTCCGCGAGAAAAATCCGTTCCGATAAGGATCCTCGATACGGATTCCTTCCACCAGAGCAAGGCTCTGCAATTGTGCTCGAATTCGAAACACACCGCTGTCTCACTGATATTGGTTTCTCTAATTCATTTTCAAACAACGAAATGTTTCACACCATCTTCTCAATGATCATTGCACGGCATAAATATCAACACTTAGGTGTTAGCTGTGTATAGAAGATCTTGAATATTTATGCACAATGCACTTTGCACTGTACACGTGACTACTTGTAATTTTAATGCTTGAAAAAGGAGGGGGGGGGGGAACGACTAAACGAAGAAAAACGAATCTAATTCTTCAACATCAGTTGAACATCATGATCGTTGCAATTGTTTTGGATTATATATTTTCAAGAATATTTCAAGAAATAAATTCGAAAGAGGAGAATTAGTGAGAGCACAAGATCGATGACCTTGAAACCTGTCGATTTTCAAGACAAGCTATGATACTCTGTATCATTGTTAGCCGCGTGATACCTAAGCAAGATCAAGGTGGCAAGCTATCCTCGAGGAGTCATGAGGCATCGGGCAGGAATGCCAGGCATTTTAATAGCAACGCGACCAAGTAATCGCGTATGGTTATCAGACATCTGTACATCAGCGAATCGCGGTTTCGGTGGGCGTGAATTCGTCGAACGTTTCCGTACATTTCGGACATACCTCCTATTACTCCCATATCTCGCGCTCCCAAAAATTTAAGATCGAGCGAAACGTACGTTATTGTATCCTCGCTTAAACAAGTGTGTCATTCACATCTCACGGTACGTGCCAAATTAAAAAAGAAATCTGCAAATGAAACACATCTGAATGTTGACACCTAAACGTACCAAGCGGGGTCAAATGACCCCTTTTCAAAATTTACTTTAAATAAAAATATATGTAGTTTGAGTATTTCATTAGAAATCAGAAGTTATGTATTATGTAGCAAATTATTTCCTTTAATAAATTAAGAATTTCTTTCTAAAGATCAACGTTTATTCATAAGGGGTCAAATGACCCCTTATGGTAAGATAGGTATATGTAAAATGCCGGTACGTTTAGTGTTAATCAAATTGAAAGATGCTTTTTAATTGAAAATAAACTTGAGAAAAATTGTACTTATCTCTAAAGAAAGGAAAATTTAAATCTAAAAGAAGGTATTTGAAATTTCTATCCTCTAAATTTAGCTCCATCACGTTGCCTAATTGTAAGTTTCATTGTGCTCGAAATGACGACAATTTAGGTATTCGACGGCTCGTCGAAGAATTGAGGTTAAACTCGATAGTCTTTCTAAATATATTAGAGGCAACGTTGTCGAAACTTTAATTAAATTACAATTATTTGACAATCGTATTGAAATAGCGAAACTACGTCGGTAACTGATGGAACCTACCGGGGCAACGTATTTTTGGTCATCGAGAAAGTCACAGTATGCGCCATCATCCGCAAGCATACGCAACTACGTCTGGTATTCGGAACAGGTTCGAAGCACGGCATTCCATCACAACAAACCGCACACAGGAGGAACCAGTCACACTGCTGAACGAACCGGGGCTCGTTATGCTCCGTTGTCCGTTTCGATAGATATACAGATAGAGATAGATCGAGAGAGAGAAAGAGAAAGAGAAGAGAACAGTTTGATGATTTATGAAAATCATCACCACGAACACGTCGTCATGCTCCCGATTGCCCTCGAAAGTGGAACCTTTTCTCTAATGCGTTACACTTTGTAGCTACACTTTTTCTGATTATTCACATTCTTCACTGCGTCATTTGAGCCAATTCCCCTTGATTCGAGGAGAAACAAAAAAAAAAAAAAGAAGGAAAAAAACAGATATCCCTAAATAACGAATAATGAATTTACTACAATAAAAGTAAGAAGTTAATTCCTTCTTTTATAATTGGTAAATTATTGATGAATTGCTCCTCCTTTGTATTTTGAAAGTAATATCACTGAATCACTTGAAATGAAAAGAAACGAGAAGGCTAAACATAGAGCTACGTTTTATCAAATTCCAATGAATCAATTTTCGATAAGATGTGCACCTATGTTTCTCATTTACATCCAGAGTTTGAACCAACAAAAATCTTCACATATTTCGACAGTAATATAACAAAATATCGTCGACTCTTCAGTTTAGTGAAATACTGAAATGAACCTAACGACGAAATGGAATGATTCAATGATTCCCAATGTGAAAATACTATTGTTTGCAGTCGATTACACACTATTGCGAAAATGGCATACTTTTCAACTAAGAAATGTTTCGTGACAGCGGGAGAGGCGGCTTTAAGAATACAGAACAGCAGACTGACCGTCTTTTTGACAAGGAGACCAATTGAAACGTGCTCGAACATGTTGAAACATGTTGCGAGAGCAGAGTGAAATTGTTTTAATCGAAATGAAACGTCACAGGAAATTCGTTCGAAGCTCTTGCCAAGGAGGAGCCGCGAACGCGACGGATCTAAAATAAACGGCGCACAATGTTATCTAATTCGACGCGAAATTGGCATTTCGCAGGAATGCGGGCTCGTACTGGCCTCCTCTGTTCTTACACAGATTCCAAACAATTTTACTGAACTATCAAGTGATTCGGCGGATCATGTTTCATCTTTTTGTTTATGCGCCTTTTTTTTTAACCGCCTTCCTGAACTTGGGAATTTCCTGGAGGAAGAGTGGGTGCTTCTGGCTGAAAACTTTGGAGCATATCTTGGTAAACTGGATCTCTGAAAATGATCTGGTTTTAGGTTTCATGGATATAGGATATACAAGGGTTAATGATAACTTTTTTTTCTGCTATCGTAGAATTATAATATGAAAAAATCAAAAATCGTTCCTGGGCCATATGAAATTGACACGAACATGCAGGTGACACTAGGTACTACAGAAAGCTATAATCAACTGCGTGATCAACATTTCACGGTCGAAACCAGCACATTTCATTTACTTTCAACTTTCATTCTGTAATCTAATGTGTGCGTTTGTACCTTATTACAAACAATTTTTTTTTGCCAATTTTTCGAGTACTATACTTTCTGTGACACTAACTAGAGTCACCTTAACCCTCGATCAGAAAGCACTATACTTTGAAATAAAAGTTAGTTGCAATGACAATTGGCTGCTGTATCCGTGTATCAAACTCAATAACAATTTGTTACAAACTATCCAGTTCAATTCCCAACCCACTCTAAACCCTCTGGTCACGAACCCAATGATCACGAACAATCACCAGCAATCCGTCGGAAGCATAAGTCACGAGGCAAACTGACCTTGCACCATGGTGGCCGCTCTGGAGAGGACATCCAAGGCGCTCTCGACGGCGGACATCTCTTTCCCTCGTGCTTCCTCTTCGAAAACGGGAACAAAGGTATACTCGGTCCACCAATTTTCACCGTTTCGTGAAAGTCTTAGTTTCTACGAAAACTTCACTTCGTTCGCGCGGGTCTGGACTTCAGGAAGTACTGCTCGTAGGCAGGGATGCAGCAGGTGTTCATCAACACACCGGGTTGAAATTCCCGCGATGGAACAAAAGCTGACGGACCACGGCACCGTCACGAGGATCTCTGCTCTCTGGGGACAGAAGTCGAAGTTAACTGTTTGGGGGCCTTCCTCACGGCCGAAGCCAGCACAAATAAAGTAAAACGGGGATTAAAAAACGTGACATTGTCTGTGGAATGCGGACCCCTCACCAGAGATCTGCCGCCCGCGTCCTTCGCCTCGCCGCGTGCAGCCCACCCTACGTCGCTTCGCGAGTCCCCACGCGTACCCACACGATCCCACTCCACCCACCGTTAACGTGCCGACTAGTAATGGCTTCGAATTGCTCTCCAATTATTTAAATAAGCTTCGACAACCACACCATCGCTGAAAGATACAAAGTCCTTTAGGAATTCGTTTTGAACCTCTGTTCATCATCCATCTATCTAAAGTTCCAGGAATAAAGGTTACGAGAACGTTGAGAGATTACTTGGTCGGCGATCACTCGTTGGTACGTTTGCACAGCAATATCAACTGCAAACACCGAGGGCATTACTCGAAGCCATTGCTAGTCGCACCGTTCCTTTTCTTACTCCCGTATCGCGCCCCTGCTCTCTTTCCAAACTTCCACGCAACCGGCGTAGCAATTTCATTTCTAACAACAAAAACAATGCCTCTTGGTCTGTTCTTTTGCCCGATCGTTCCTTGTCTCTTATATGTTTTCTCTCCTTTTCTGTGGAAAGGAAAAAAAAAAGGAAAGTAAAAATTTACTAACGCGACTAAAGCGCATAGCTTCTGCACTCGATAGTGTAGCACAAAGTGAAATTTCATTTTTGCAGTGTAATAATGTACGTACGTACATACGTTGAACTCTGACTCTGAGTAAAAGGAAGCTGGTAATCTGGCAATTTGGATCAAATACCTCAACTCCCACCCTGATACTCGCGCACACTTTTCTACCAAAATGTATCTTCTCAGTTTTTTTTTTTTTTTTTCATTGTTTCGTATCGATACCGCGTCAGGCATTGACCGCCAAATACTAGATCGCAGATTGTAAATAATCCTAAAGTCTTTGATTAATTGAAGCTCATCGAAAACGATGAATCAACGAAAAACCGCGCACGCAAATTCCAGTGTCGCGTGACGACGATTGATGTGTGTATATAAATGTGCACGCACGATTAGAAAATTTCAAATCCACAACAGGCATTTTCCTCGAACAATGCGATACAAAAATTTACCACAATCATTAAATTCCTTAAAATCCATTCTTCGTGTATATATATATATATATATATACAGACACACATATATACACGTATGTGTGTGTGTGTGTGTGTGTCTCGATTTCGTTCTCGTTTCAAAAATTAGAGAACATTCCAAGGAGATCTTTAGATTAAACGATACGCGACAAAAAAACGAAATTCTTTTCCATGTTTTCCCGAATTTGCGAAATCGGATTGAATTGACAGGACTGCGACGATAGGATTAGATAGAAAGTAAATAATTGGCGATTTTAATAATTTCTTTTTTTTTACCGACTGAGCAATGAAATGTTCCCCCTTTTCCTCTCCGCTCGTCCTAAGGCAAGAATCGATAGAGGAATGCGACGTAGCGTGAAGAAAAGAAAAAAAAAAAAAAAAAGGAAGAACGAGCCACGCATTCCTCGAGGTAAATCGAACTTAAGGTGGTTCTTCCCACCATTTACGTGATTCACTCACCGATGTTTCTGCGTTGACAAGCCAGCTAACAGACGATCAAACATCCGGCACGATATCCGCTGGCGCGTCGAACCAACGCACGGTATGTATTTTCATTGAAAACGATGGAAAATCTAATGGTATGCGATCGAACACACAGGGAACACAGGCTCTTTGACACACGAGAGCCAGCCTCGATTCCCCACTACTTAAACATTACGCTGGAATGTCTGGTATTCGTCCATCGAGGCGCTCTCTAGCGGGAAGATCGCCAAAAGCGCGAACGCGCGCCACGCCGACCGTATAAATTACGGTTTGAACCGCCACTTTTCTTTTCCAATAATTATGCTTAACATTTCATGCAAGTTTTTCTCTTGATACACGAAATTTTTGGAAGGAAAAATCTTCTTAGATTTCTTTTTGGAGTTGAGCTTGGGTTAGGTTAGCCTGTAAACGAAGGATGATTAAGGAGTGACTGCACTACCCAGATGGTTTCTTTAACGTACGTAGGGGATATTGAATAGAATACCTGTCTCTATTTTTTAGCTCTCAGAAAATTTAAGTATTTTATTCATCATGTTTTGATGCTTAAAAATTCAGAGGTACAACCTCTTGCATGCTTTTTAGATTAGCATAAAATCTCTATATAAAAAGTCATATTTGTAATAAAACGTATTTTACAAGATTTTTTGACATACATTTACATATGTCAAATGTCAACATCATAATAAAAAAAAAATTAAAATAAAACAATTGCAATCGACGGAGATGAATATCATAAATTTTCTACTGCATGTGCCAAAATTTGATTAGAAGAAAAACTATGCACATTTAACGTATCACATCTTTTTATCGTCCTCGTCGTCGTCGCTATTATCCAATGCATAACAAAGCTGCAATTAAAAATGTGATAAACAATTGAAAAATTAAATGGCACGATGAAATTTTTAAACTTAGAATATACCTCATCCAAATCGGGCCTTTTAAGTATTTGCTCCAGTCCTGATAATTTTTCCAAGTAATTTGGTACGTTACAGGCGTCCAGAACAAATGATAAACCTCGGTTTTTATATTCCTTGATAACAGGCACAGAACAGGCCGTGCACGATGTAAATCTATGAGTAATTGTCAAATGAGTATCGTAATTCCACAGGGATCCGCGTATCGTGTGTGGTACACATCCCAACAAGCCTACCAATTCCGTATCGCTTGGACTAATATTATCTCTGCCCACCAACGCTTCTGCCTCAATTCTGTCAAATGCATAATAATAAATCTCTAAGTACATGAAATTCAATATAAACTTCTGTTATTTGTTTTATTACCCTAGAGGATGCTGCAGCAGAGTTATCAATAGCTCGACTGCTAATCCTGCAGCGATCTGTGACAAACCAGGTCTGCTAACTGTGCACTGTTGGTCCAATGTTCTATCGGTTTGTGACTGCAAATTAAAATGACTGTTACCAAAAAAAAAGAAAAAGAAAAATAAAGATTGTAAGAATTTTACGACAGACTTACATTTCCAGGTTGCGTTACATCATTGCAAAAATAGCAACCGAGGTCCACACCGCGGGGATTCCTAATTTCCAAGTCTGGCGAAATCGGATTAATCAAATTTCGAGTACCGTGTCTCTGTACTGTGTAAGAATCAAAACCCAAAGCTGCATTGATGGCAATCTTGTTTTTAGCAGCACAAAGGAGCGTAGGTAGCCACCTGGCCTCTCGAGAATCCAATAGAAGAAAAACAACGTCACTATTTTCGACAAGTTCCTCCAATTTTTCTAGTGACTTTTTCGTAGACTCCAGCATGCTCTCACCAACAACATGCCCAGGCATTGGAATGTGTAGAACTACACCTTCTGCATTCTATGTTATTAGTAAAATTAATTTAACAAAGCGTCAATAAAGTCAAGTCTTTTTTAGTACTCACTATGCTCGGCCGGATGTTTAACACAGCATCCTTGGCTGCATAAGCTTTGTGCTTATGCTTTACAGCATCCTGATGGCTGTACAAACTTTGTCGCACTGTATTGCTATGAGACACATTAGAGTTGTCAACAAAAGTTATGTTATTCACCCCCCAGCCTAGAAGAATTCTTGCTACTGCACAACCTAAGGTTCCAGCGCCCAATAAAAGACACTTAAGGTTACAGATCTTTTCTAAATCTAAGTCAGGAACAAGGCGCCATTTCATTAATTTCAAGTTTAGGTTAACAGCTCTGTCTGACAATCTAACAGAAGGTAAAAATGCCATTGAGATATTTGAAATACTTATGTTTATTGTGTGTTGGTGTCCAATTAATTTTTAAATAATTACTTGGTTGGATCCATCGCATTGGACAGATTGACTATAGTAGGACCCAGTTTATCATTTAAATTACTCTCCCAACCCACAAAATTACTCGAAAACAGAGAATCCCTCTCATTTTTGTAATTTTCATACTGCTTGCTCCTGAGTGTGAAAACTAGACTTTTCTGTGCTTTGTTCCCTCGTATAGATATGAATTTAATAACTTTTGAAAAATAATATGTAGGACAGTGCCAGCATAAAAGACATAGAAGATTGCGTAAAGGCCAGCCTGGATTAGAAGTTGTACATGGGTCATAAAATGCAAAATATATTTTATTATATTCCTAGAAAAATAAGCAAATAAGTAAAGATATAAAAAAAAAAATTTTACAGCATTCTTAAATAAAATGAATGCTTTAATACCTGTGATTGTTTTTCACTACTTGCATTGATTGCTTTTACTCCTGCTGCCAGGTCAACAATAATCATTTTATCTCCTTCTGATAATAAAACTGTAAAGTAATTTTTTGCCCTGCTATCTAATTGTAAAAAACCTTGACATAAATCTTCCACGTGCTTAGCTCTAAATTCGTCATTGATCGACTTTGGAGACTCTTCATAATACATTTCAGGCAACTTCAACGGAGTAGGATGCGCAACCCAATAATAAAATTTGTACTTCTTTAAATCTGAATAAGCTAACAATAAGAACAACGACAATTTCCATGGACTTTGTAACGCTGTTCCATCTTGAATACTGTTTATAATATCTTTTCCCGTGGAGTCAATGAACTTCTCAGGATTAATTTGACGAAACGCTTCAAAGGTGTTTGTATTAATCATACGTCCACAGCAAAGAACTGACAAACTATTGTCTACTGTTTCCAGGTCTCTAAAAATTACCTGTATGAAATTAAATCCGACAGATATTTAAAGTAAAACGAAGTACCAAAGTAATGAATCGTACCGTAGATGCAAACTTACTCATTGAATGATGTAAAGTCCAATACCAGCGGATTGCTATTGTCTTCATTCAATGACTGAAAGCCGTAATTTCCCCATATACTGATGCTTTTCTCGTCAAGTTTGAACTTGTCAATCTTCAGCTCGACGAACTTCGCCCAAAAACTGCTGTCCGTGGACGACCTTAATTTTGAGAATTTCACGAACTTCGACATCATTCCAAGCCTCTGAAAAATAATACAATCGTGCAATAACGTGCTACCGAGACGAAGATAACAACACAACTTACGAGTACGTGTAACGAATTCCAAGGCCTGATCGCTGGGCTGATTTATCTCGAAAAACAAATATATAGAACTATCGACAAATGATTGATATTGTATAAGAGAATTGATGAAGAGAGAAAATAAACACGCGACGATCCTCGCTTCAGATCGCAAATTCATGAATTTCTTATATGCGCATGCGCGCGTTTTTTGCAGAAATTGTACATTGACAGAGTCGCACCCCTTTCAAAAATAATAATAAAGCCTAAATGAAACAAATTTCATTCGATTCTCTCGTCAAACCACGTTACAGTGCGAAATGTTATAATTATTTTTTAATATGCAAAATATTATTTGTATAATTACTTTTATACTTATACTTATACTATATTTTGTAGTGTAAAAGTAATTATATTATACTACAGCAAAAGTAAATATATTATACTATAATATACAAAATATAATTATTCTATATAATAGAATAATCGTATAAATATAATTATTCTAAATAATTACTCTATAATATTCTGATTTACTAATTCTTGATCTAATGATTCAATCAAAATATTACTTATCTAAAAGCGATGTTAAAAAATTTCCTAACCACGAAATTAAAATCAACTTGAATCGTTGACAATTTTACTTCAAATCACACGTGTTATTCCGGTATTATTCGCATCTTTTTACACTTTTCAAATGTATGTTTAAATGATTGCGAGACAATCACGTTGATTCATTGATTACCGATTAAAATTCGTCGTAAATCGACAAAAGTAATGGCAATTGTTATTGTTGTCGAGGTTAGAAAATATAGGTACGGCACTGTTGATGACGTCACGAAGACAGTATGGCCGGACAGCATCGGCTGTCTGCATTGTAACGTACGAAAAACGCTTTCCGGGGGTTCCACGGGGATAATTTAGAAAATATGTCGGATTATTTAAGATCTGCTCTGGGATACTTGAACGGAGCCGCAAACACCAACGATTACGTCGGACAGATACTGGAAATCAACAATGTGAAACTACGCGTGACCAGGCTACTTGCCGAGGGTGAGTCTGTCAACCCCTTACAGAGTACTTCATTCGCTGTCGCACAATTTTACGTCCCAATCGAAATTGACTCTAATGTCACTGTTATTTTTCAATCACCGAGCGAAAAATACTTAGTTTTTTATGCAACAGTCGTCAAATTGTTGGAAACAGCGGTTGTCACTGTGCCAACAATGTGAATTATCCTAGTCTTGACATGTGTCAAGTCTGTTTTGACATTCAGATATGAAATGCCAATGGGCCAAAATTTTGCTGTATCGTTATCAACATTAGTAAAGAAAGACGATTAGGTTAAATCTACGTTCAAGTGTCTATTTAATATTCATAGGTATTGTTCTATGAAAATTTAATATGTAACTCATTACCTGAATGTACTGTAGTTTGTTATGTTGAATGTAGAAGTGAATTTTAATGGGAAATCTAGTAAGATATTTTTGTATGGTGAAATATTGTTATATTGTCGATCCACTTGGAAATATCGATGCTTGGAAAACGTCAACACTATGCCTGGAAAATGGCATTAATATTTTGAATGTACTTCATCATGTACTTTTAGAGAACTTAAAATTATATTTCTTTTGTTGAGTTATTCACATTGAAATATTTGTATCAACAGGTGGTTGGGCTTTGGTATTTGCAGTTGAAGATATAAATACAGGGAAAGAATATGCACTTAAGGTAGATCATCGCTGTGTTTGCATTGTTCCAAAGCAAGTTGAAAGAAATTGTTCTAATCTGTACCTGTGCTTTCAGAGGCTTATAGCTGCAGACGAGGATGCCAATAAAAGCATCATTCAAGAGATAGAAGTCTTGAAAAGACTGTCCGGCCACCCAAACATAATCCAGTACCTCTATGCTCAGCGTTTGGAACGCGAAGATCGTAAAGGATATGAGTATTTATTAGTAACGGAACTATGTCCCGGAGGCACCGTCGCAGACATGCTCAGAAATTTATCGACCAACACATTGTCCCTTGCTCAGATCTGTAAAATAGCCTATCAGGCTACGAGGGCTGTACATCACATGCACAGCCAGCAATCAGAGCCACTGGTACACAGGGACATAAAATTGGAAAATTTTTTAATCGGTAGCAACGGTCTAATCAAGCTCTGTGACTTCGGTAGTACTTCCAATCAGCAAATCTTGCCAAATCCATCCTGGAATGCTCAGAAACGCGCCACCTTGGAGGACCAGATGGCGAAATATACCACGCCCATGTATCGAGCACCAGAGATGATGGATACGTGGAACAACGAGCCTATTGGTCCTCCGGTTGATTGTTGGGCGCTTGGCTGTATAATATACTCTCTGATAACCTTGAGACATCCATTTCCTGAAGGTATTCAATTCGCATCGTATCAGTAGTGTGACTGATTCTTATTCAATTTCGTTTTATTCGCAGGTAACAAGCTCGCAATAGTCAATGGCAAGTACGCTTCGCTTCCGCCTAATCCACGTTTAGCCTGTTTGCACGACATAGTAAAAGGATGCCTTGAAGTGTCTCCAGTCCGAAGATTGACGACGTCGATGATACTGGAGCGTTTGGCAGCAATAGCCGAGTCTAATAACTTCGATCCCAGAGAACCCCCGAAAGTGGAAGTCCCGGTGAAGACCCCGCCGCCTCCTAGACCTGTTCAACCACCACCCAGCACGCCTACTCCGCCGCCGAGGCCGTCTCCTCCAGTGAACGTTCCTCCCCCAAAGCCTGTTTCGGTGGCTCAAACTGCCGTTGCCAAGGTCCCCGTAGCTCAACCGACAGGCCTATTTAGCTCGTTGAAAGGTGGTGCTGGTAGTATTTTAAGGAACCTAAAGGACACTTCAAGCAAAATGATGTACTCTGTGCAACAGAGTATGGCCAGAACTGAGTTAGATGCCAGTTACTTAACGTCACGTATATTAATCATGCCCTATCCGGCGGATGGGATAGAGTCTGCTTACAGAGCTAACCACGTGGAGGACGTAAGAGCATTTTTACAAGCTCGACATCCTCCGCCAGCTCGTATACAATTGTATAACTTATCTCGGGGCCGACCGAACGTGTCCAGGCTTCCTGGCAGACACATCGACTGTTCTTTTGCCTATGCTTCCTCGGATTCCAATGCCCCGCTGTTGTCAGCTCTCTACCAAATATGCCAGGATATTTATCGGTATTTGAATGCCGATTTTAATCACATTGTTGTGTTATACTGTAGCGTAAGTATACTTTGCATACGAATTATAAAGATATTGATATTTTTCCAACATTGTTTCCTTCCTTCAGGATGGATACAGAGCCAGTGCGACGGTTGCGTGTACGTTACTGATATACGCTAGGGCGTTCACCACTCCCGAAGAAGCTATAGCGATGTTTACAACAAGACGACAGCCTCCTCAGTTGCAACCCTCGGAATCACGTTGCATTAATTATATGAGTTTGCTGAGTACCGGAGTACAACCTCATACGAAACCTCTGGCTCTTCGTTCTTTACTAATTAAACCCGTTCCGCTGTTCACCAGAGCAAAGGATGGCTGTAGACCTTATATCGACATTTACAGCAACGGAGCTTTAGTATTTTCTACTAAGCGGCAAGAGTACGAGAATTTGAAACTGTTTGGAATAATGAAGGGAAAGGTTCAACTGGCTCTTAATAATGCCACCGTTAGAGGTGATGTTACACTGGTTATATTCCACGCCAGGCAGCAGCTGGGTCGTATGATCGGCATCAAGATTGCATCTGTTCATTTTCACACCGGTTACATACCGCTTGGTGAATCTGACTTAACATTCAAGAAAATGGATCTCGACGACGCGCCTGAAATTGGCGGAAATTTTAGTATTATTTTGGATATCATGGTGGCCGAGGAGAATCCAAAGATGGCCAGAGTTCCAGCTCCTTGGGAAGCGGAAGCAGCCTCGAAATTAGAACCAGATCCGTTATTCGGGTCCACCTTGGAAATGGAAGAAACTTTGGAAAGCTTTAGAATTGTTAAACCAGAAGAGGTGAGTTGTAGAAAATTATTTGTTAGTCAAAAATAATTGGAGTTTATAAATTTCGTAATATCTTGTCTTTAAAAACGGTAGGTTCAAAAGGAAGCGGCAGCTTCGCAAGCAGTAGAAGCACAAAGCAACGTTAACGTAGAAGAAGAAGAACCTCGACAATCGATAGAGGACGAGGAAGAGGAGGCAAAGGAGGAAAGCAAGCTGCAAGAAGCAGATTTGTTGAATCTGGGAATGCCAGACACCAGTACCTTAAATAATACTCCAGAGCCTGCAGCAGCAAACCCGGGATTAGATATATTTTCTAACTCTAGTCAGAAAGAAAGCGATCTCTTGGGAGGCTTCGGTGATTTTATTCAACGAGAAACGAATAACACCGTGCCAACCATTACCGATCCTGTCCAGAACGATCTGCTTTTTGGACACGATCAGCCTACTACTAGGAACGATAATGCTAATAATAATTTGAACGATTTATTCTTCAACCAGAGCCAGCCCACTACCAAGCAGAATCTCGACGACTTGTTCGATCCACTCGGTGGGAACACCGCGAATAATCTTTTAGGAAGTATGCAAGGTTCTAAATCAAATACCGCGAAACCTCCGACTGAGGAGAACTTTCCGAGGAATTCGAGTGTTCCGAACTTCGCAGCTCAGAATAAGGATCCGTTCGCGAATCTTGCCAGCTCGCTAGGCGCTGGATTAACGTCCAGTTGGAATGGAACACCGAGGAACTCCAATACTCCACAATCCGCTAGTCCTGCTCCAGCTAGCACGCCGATACACACGAGCCCCAGCACGCACAAAAATGCAACTGGCGAGAGTAATACTACTA